GACAAGCCTTAGAACAATCTCTGAAGGTATAACAGTGGCATCTATTTTCTAATAATTGTATTTTTGATTTCATATTATTTGATTTTTAAGTCATTTGTGGTCTTAACTATGTTGTCATAGGTCGTTCTGCGATCTGACGTGGCGATTATTCCTAATTTGGTTTGTAATAAATATCGCATAAGGTATTTTAACACATTCTTTAAAAAGCATCTGTCTTATGTAATGGTATTTTCGTTTCTTGAGTGTTGATGCTGACTTGAATCGATAGTTACTAGAGTCCTTACTTACAAATGGTTCTCAGAGTCTAAACTCTCGAGGTGTTAGGGAGGGGACTATTTTTGAATAATTGTAGTTTTGATTTTACATCATTTCTGAAAAATCAAGCTATACATTCATGTAAAAGAAGAAAGCTTTTAACATAAAAAAAAGTGAATATATTATTTAACAATTTGGAGTTATTATTTTATTTAATTGACAATATTTGATGATTTAAAAGCCTACAGATATGAGATCTCTCATTCAGACAATCAGTAACTAATTTGCAATAAATTGTAATAGGCAATATAGGTGTATAAATTAAAACTCTCCTTTTCATTCTGTTTTCAACAGAGTGGTGTTTCGAACTCCTCCTATTTTATATAAACATTTATAAATAATAAACATATTTTTTGTTTTCATTATATTTCTTCTTTCGTATAATACTTTTTCTTACTTCATATAATTTTTTATTTTTTTTATGTTATTAAATTTTATCATTTTCGGGTCTTTTAACATTAACGTACAGATCTTCAATTATTATTAAAAATTAATTATTAAAAATTAAATGTTAATAATTAATTTCTTTGTATGGATATGTTTCCTTTTATATATTTTTTTATTCTCCTTCATATACTTTTACTCTTTTTAAATGATTCATCATATTTAGTTCTTATAATGTTATCTACTTCTTCTTCTACCAGAGGAGCATAGGGTCTCCTATTATGTTATCTATACTTTGATAATTAATTATTAAAAATTACTAATTATTAATATTAAATATTATTATAAATATTATCATTATTTTTAATAATAATTTAATAGTTAAAAATTAATTATTAATTTACTTAAATGGATATCTCTTTTTTCATATATCATATGTCTTTGTCCTCATCCAGTAGTTTATTTTCATACCATATAATTTTTAACAACATAATTTTATTAAATTGTTAATTAATTTATTTATTTATTTAATAGTAATTAGGTTTCTTCCGAAAGTCTAACAAATCTATTGCAAATAGTTTCAAAGTTTTTCAAAAAAATATTGTGTAATATATTTTAATTTATTTAAATAATAAAGAGTAATAAAATTATTTTAAAAAATATTTAGAACTAGTTAAGCAATTAAATTTATATAATTTACGATTGCAAACAAAGGTGACATTTTTGGTTAATTAATCGAACCAAAAACTTAAGTGACTTCCACGTATTTTAAGTTCATAATTTATGTAAAACGTATAAATGTTATGTAAACAAAAACAAAAAAAAATATATATATAAAACAAAAGTAATTTTTTTTTCCATTTAACTTAATTGATATTTAATACGTTTGAGATTTTATGGGTATTTTTTATTTTTATTTTTGATATTTTGATTTTTAATGATTTATTTATTTATTTTTTAATTGTAACCATGAACCATAAACTAGTCAACCGGTTACATGCTCTCGATTGGCTTCAGACTTACATTAGCATTTTGTGGTCTGATGCATTTTTTTACATTTTATTATTTTAGTATATTTTGAATCATTAAAAATGCATAATTTTAATTTTTAATTGGGAATGTATATCAGTTCAATTTGTATTGACCTAGAAGTCATTAACCGATGATTGTGGAATCGTGCTCTTATTTAAAACATATAAAAAAAATGAATAATATATTTACATAAATTTTCATAAATTATATTAAATCAATTTTTAGTTAAATTTTATGTTAATAATTTTTTATTTATGAAAGTACATTTCAGTATATAACAAATTTTTTTATTTGTTATTTGATTATTATGACTAGTCTTAAGTGTGCCGACTATTTAATATATGCAACTAGATTTATGTAAAATGGCTAAGGACCTAGTAGTTAGGTTCCTTATTCTTAGTTGACTTTAAAATTAAAAAAAAAATTAGTATATAATATGTTATCAATATTATAATATATTATTTTTGACTTTCAATATTATTTATTATTACATTTGACTATTTCACTTTGTCTAGTAATAGGGACTAAAATTAACTTTAAAGATGTTAACGTGAAATGCTTTAATACAATATCTTCCCACTTTAAATATAGTCATTAACCATTAACTCTTAACAATATTTATGGAAGTTATCCAGGTTAATTGGGATTCATGCTTTAACACATATATTGATGTGCGAACTGTTTGGGTGTTTATATTAGTTAAGCGTTATAGTAAAAAATATTTCGTGGATTATTTACAGACTGTGATCTGAAATCTAACGGGGTAAATAAAATAGGAATATAACGAAAGATTTTATATATTCTTGCAAATCTGCTTACCGGAGTGGTGATGAGGCATTGGGCTGATGTTTCAATAGTAGTGTAATTTGATTAACAAACTAGGAGTTGCCAAAAAGTGTAAGAGAAAAATGCATCAATCACTTGCTATGACTAGAACTACATATAGTGTCACGTATATGTCATATCACGCTTTGTTAAGAGCAAAAGATTGAGAAGGATTCAATGTTCCCGAGACCATTTCTTTACTAATCTTCTTAACTTAACTTCTTAACTTAATCTTGAATAGCACGCGAAGTTATAATTGACATAACGATTAGTCTAGTTCGGTCTAGTCGTCGAAGTGACTTAGAGAGCACCAGAACGGACAATAGTTGTATACCACTGCAGAGTTTAACATTTTTGTTAGACTATTTTAACTTAACCTAACTTGACTTTTACTAGTTTAAATTTTTTATGTAAACCTGTAAACAAGGGGTATAAATGTAATATCCTTGTTGTCTTAACAAGTACTAGTTTCACAGAGCAGTCAAGTAAGATACTCAGTAGAGAATTTAATAAACATGTATTTATGGAACAGTCGGTCTTTGTGTGCAGTACATATTTACAGGACGTTCAATTTATAGATTTATATGAAAATGTAAATTATTTGTATACACGATTTTTTTTATTTTTGATCAATAATTTATACAGTACGACTTTTTTAATGTTTCATTTTTTCGATCAATAATTGATATAGTACAACCCCTTATTTGGATGTAATTAGAACTAAATTTTGGAAAAACTGAATTAAATGATTATTTGAAGATGCGGTTTTATATGGGTGGAATTATAGCGGTTCCTTTTATTTTATAATGTTTTATTTTTTAAATATTTTATTTTCATATACCTGACATATCTAATGAATTTTTCAAGATGCATCAACTTAGAGACATACATCAGTAAAATTAAATTTTTAATTATAGTTTCAATATTATATGTGCGTCTCCAGAAACATCCGTTTTGAATATACATTATAGAAATTTATTTTTATTTAATTTTTTTTTTATGTTGCACATATATTTTTATTATCTATATGTATAAAAGTAATGTTTGTAGTCTTCTATTACATTCTACTCATACATAATAGTTCAGGTAGAATTTATAATAGTAATATTCTTCTTCTTCTTCTAAGCTATTTACATTTACAAATTTAACTTTACACATTTTAAATAATTTAGATTATTTTAAATAAAAAAGTGTTTGGGGTTTGCTTTTTGAATAGTTGACTTTTAAGATTGACTGTATAATGATAAAGAATTTTTTCGGCCATGGTATTTTTCCTTTTATTTTCTATTATAATAGAAAATATTATAATTGAAATATATGGCCATGATCTATTATTTTTCTTTATCTCTAAATGTTTCTTTTTTCGGTTCTTGCTATATACACCTTCTTTATTACCATCCAATATTTGTAATAAATTTGTGTTGTCATTTTAACATATAGCCAGTCTCAAAAAGTAACCTTTCTTGATACTGTAAAGTAATAATTTAATAATTGTTTTAACGCCCTCATAATTTATTATTAATAAATGAAAAAAAATGAAACCAGTTAAAACGCTATTAGCTAGATTATAGCATTTAGAATTGTAATTATTTAGAATGTTTAACAAATTTTATTGAATGATTCGAATATCTTTTTTGAGGTGTGCTGGCTCATTGGCATAAAGTCAGCCGTACATAATTTAAAATAATATTCGTAAAATGCATAATACATCTAAATATTAACATATCTAGAATGGAGATGCACGTATTGTAGTTGTAAGTAATTAAAGCATTTAATTTGCATAATTTATGAAATAACAAATTCTGCATTCAAAACGTGATACCCTGAAACAATGACGACGGGCGTACCTCAAATGCTTCTGCCGAACACGTAACTTTTCTATGAATTATTAATAAAACTAATAATTTTTGTTTATCTTTATGTAAATAAGCATTTTTTTTTAATTTTTATTAAATAAACCATATGATCTCTTTTGTATTACTGGTTTTTCTGTATAATCAAAATGAATATATTTATAACTTCAAATGAAAAAAAAAATATCTATATATATATGTAAATATATATATAAGTTTTAAGTTTACTATTAAGCAAAAATAAACGTGAATTCAAAAAAAAAATTCTTTAAATAAAATTTAATTCATATGTGCATATATTTCGTTATACGTAACAAAATTTCTAGTTTTTTAGACTTATGACAATAGTTTATATAGGAATTGTTTATTAATAATTAAAACACGAAATTTGTCAAACTGATTTTAAATCCGCATTCGTCACAAAGAATCAGACGCCAAGATTTATGAAAGGCAATTAATACAATTTCGACGTAGAGACAAAAACTAGTTTTTTTTTAATTCACACAAAAATTATTTATTAATTAAATTATATTATTTAAAAAAATTTTTTTTTTCATATTTATAATAAAATAATTTTGTTTTTTTTTTCAGTACACAATGTTGGCAGTAATTTTATGTATTATGAGTGCAACTTTAATTTATGCCCAAGCTGACGGAGAAAGCCATAATTACCTGGATGTACAAACACCGAATACTTTTCAATACAATTCACCACTGCATCAACCGGACAGTTTACGTTCACGTCCCTACTTCGACTTCTTGAGTACTCTATATCGTCATGATCCTACTAAGACTTCGCTATTTAGTCCTTATGCAGTACGCACACGTCGCAGTGCGGCGGATCCTAAACATGTTGCTCTCCTCAAAGAGTTCGCTGAGAATAATAAACGTAGTAAGAGAGCCATAGTGTTCAGACCACTGTTTGTCTACAAACAGCAGGAGATCAAGAAACAGGAATATGCCAAGCGCAAGAGACGTTATTAAGTACTTAAATAATTTTTCTCAAGTTCGGCAATCTTCTCATATGACTTTTCCTTTGCATTTCATACAGAATTGCAATTTTAATCTCAATTATATTTTTTTTATTTTTAATTTTTATTATAATTATTGTTTTTCTCTTTGCTTTATCTTTGTTATATATAATTTTTAATTATATCATCACATTTGAATGAAATTCACTATAGCACATAACTTGATCTAATTTAAAAATCTAGGCTAGGAAATTGTTGTACTTTTTTTACAAATTATAAATGGACATTTTAGTTAAGTATATATCATTGTATAATATATATTTTATATATGTGTGTAAAAAGATTTGCTAATTTAAGTTAAAATATTAAATAAATAAAATGAATTTTAAAAAAAAAATTATTTAATGCTCTTTTTATTTAAGTTGAAATCAGTTAAAAAATTGAATAGAAATATTTTTATATGGTTACTATCAGACAGGTACTAGTCCACTATTAAATACGACTCAAAAATTACAGCAAAAAATAATATCATCTAGAAACAAGGGGGCGCATGGGCAGCGCTTTAGCAAATTATATGCATGATGCTGCGATGTCTTTGCTTTATTCAATAGTTTTTAGGATAAGTTTTAACCTTAGGTCGGTCAATAAAAGTTATTGATTAAGCGATGATTAATTGATTGTAGTAATTGAAATTACTGATTTCAGATTTTGAGTGTCATCCATTAAGTTGCTGATTTAGACAATGCTCAAGATTACAATATCGTAGTCGTTCCATGCTTCTAGCTCTACGTTTATACGAGTTTTGATTTCAAATTAATGAAGAATGATATACCGGAAGTCGAAATGTGGAATTTCTAGTCCACTATACAAACCTTGCTACAACCTGAAAAGTTTTAGAAAATGAATGTATATCCAACCGGTCCAGACTGTTACCGAAATTCTTGATAACTGTCTTGAATACTTTACTACGAAAGTGCAATGATCGACCAGCATATTTAATTCCCTGATACGAGATCCTGATTGTATACGTCAGAACTTTAATATTATTATTAGTTCTTATATCTTCATATATAGGAACGAAAAGTTGGTGATTATATAAAGATATCAATATTGATAGCGTGTCACTTTACAGTAACTTATTTGCCAGTTACTTATATCCGCTAAGAAAAACTTTATCGCTAAAGAAGACTTAGTGCCTTGAATCACGGTATTTTATGGATAAGTTATATGTGTTGGAAAAGAGTACTGCTAAATGAGGATTGCGAAATGGATAATTCCGTAGATTCATATGAAAAGTATACTAAGAGTAAAAGAGATAAAAATTGAGATCAAAACAGAAAAAATAATTACTACCATCAATACTAATTACATAATATTTAATAATCACTGGATATGGCAACATTTTACTATTTTATTATATGTATATATTAGTTTCCGTAGAGCCTGTGCGGAACAAAGGGCCACTATTTTATTATATTAAATTTGTTTTCTTTCTTCAAAATCGAATATATATAAAAGGCTAAGACTACTAATGAACAGTGGGACAATTATATTAAACGCATTACGTGTTACTTATTTTTAAATACCATAATTACTTGAATGAATTTCTTTTTGAATCGAATTAACGTTTGTTAGATAAGCGCTTTGGTTATAATATTCTTATCTGAATAAAACGATCTAATTTTTGTGTAGATTATAGTTCCTTCTGTATAAATTAACTCATTTTTTTTTAAATTAAAATCAATATTTGTTGTTGTTGTTGTGATTTGAGTTAGTGGGGCTTTTCCCTGCCCCACACTAATCTTTAACTATACTAGAATCATTATCATTTATTTATCTTCTAACTGATGGCGGACCGTAGATCAGCATAACAATAAACATTAAATAATTACGTTAACATACATTTCTTTCAGTAACATATATGTAAAACTATACACTGTAACAAATTAATTCGAAAAATATTAATTATTTATTATTTAGATAGTCTGATATTTTTTTGTTCTTTATAACAACCCTAGTGTAGAAAGACTTTGTTTAATTTTTTATTTATTTATTTTTTGTTCTTAAATTATTCTATTATACTGATTTGTCATAATTTAGTAATGGCGACCACCTCCATGTCCTTGGTGTCCCCCGTAGCCACCACCAATTGGGCCATTATATCCACCATGTCCGTGTCCACCGATATTTCCATGACCGCCGTGACCAATGGGACCACCATGACCTAAGTCATTATGACCGATACCATGTCCACCATGTCCCACATGTCCATACCCTCCTGCACCATGACCATCATTACGACCAAATCCGCCTTGACCATATCCGCCTTGATTATATCCACCTTGACCGTATCCACCGTTACCATATCCACCATTTGGAACAGCCAATACAACAGCAATAAGAGCTAGAGCTAAAACAATCTGAAAATGAAAACCAAATTCATTAGAGTCCTATATTTACAGTTCCAATGCTTAAGAAACTCACCAATAATTTTGCCATTATGAGAATTTTTATTGTTTTCACTTTATAATTTTTTTATAAACTAATTTAAATAACACATATGATGTGTTTTTATAGCAAAAAACGCAAATTTTGGATGTCTTAATATGTTGATAAGTTTCTTAGTACCACGTACATTAAAAACTCTTATCACCAAAATTATTTATTCTTTAAACAAATAATTACAAAATTTTTGGAAATAGAAAAAACAATTTTTATAAACAAATTAAAAATAAAAAAAAAATTGTAAATGTAAAAAATTAAATAAATACATTAAGTATTAAATAAGAAAATGTTAATGGTATATAAGTATTTGTAATTAGAAGCAAATATGTAAATATATAATATATAATATTATTATTATTATTAAAAATATATGTACATGTAATATATACATGTATTTATAAATATATATATAGTTATGAAACATAATTTAGTTGAAATAAACAAAACTTATTTGCGTCATAAAACATAATTAAATTAATTATTAATTAAATTAATTTTAATAGTTCAATGAAAAAGCAAGGAGAATGCCAGACATAAACTAGACATTTCTTAGTAAATGGGAAATACCAGCACAATATTTAGTCGGAAAATGACTTTCTTATTCATTTGGAATGAATTTATTCCGTTGTAGGAAAATGCTTTTGTTTATGTTTTTAATCATCATAAACTTTGTCTATTGAGGTTATCAATTGGACTGACAAACTAATCTGTCGGTATTCATAAAAGGAAAGTTACATATAATAATATTTAAACAATGAAATATTAATTTTATTTTATTAAAATTTTAATATTATAAATAAAAATATATAATAAACATCTAAAATTTGTTTTATACACGAATAATCAATTTCCTTCCGTTTTAAAATTAATACTCGTAATATTTTGGAAGAGTCTCAACAGTAGTCTTAATTTGTTAAAACTTTTGCGACTATGATTTATCGGACATAGTCCATTTTTGAGGACATAATTTATTTAGTTTTTATCATGCTATTATATGGTTTTAGCCAGTGACCAGATCTGTAGCTATTTTTATATGTATAGCTATCCAATTATCAATATAATTCAATATATGAAATTAGATCTCCAGATACCTCATAGTGTATGTAAGATAGTGATTTTGTAATATTTAGTAAAACTAATCCATAAAAAATTCTGCTCGATTTTTTGTTTACAGTTCAAAATATTGGTAAATTAAATATATTAAACAATCAGTGCATACAAAATATACGGAAAGAACATATATATAAATATAAAAAATTTCTAACCTAATGAGTTTTATAAATAGTTAGTTGTATTTAGTATTATAGTTGTGTATAAGAAATCAAAACTTCCATTTAATAAATATAGTATATTAATTCTATTAAAATACTCTTTGATATTTAAGGTAATTTTAGATATCTAGTAATTTAGATATACATATATTATCTTAGTCAATTCTGCAAAGTGAAAGAACAGATGTGTATATCGGTTATTGCATTGTCGGTTATATCAGTAATTTCTGTATATTGGTACATACAAATATGCATATATACTTTATTACTTTTACGAAGTTTTTGTTTGGATTAAAAATTGTTGCTTTAATTAAATTAGATTAGGTTAGAGCAATTAAAAATTTGATAATGAGAATGATGAAGGTAACGCAAAAACTAAATAAAGAGGGATTATATATTAAACCTTTTATTCCTAGGTGGAGCATACGACCGTAACAAGTAGTTTCCATTGAACTCTATCTAATGCAAGACGTTTTGTTTCACTCCAGCTGTTTCCAGCGTTTCTTGATTCAGGTTCAGTTTGTCTCTTCCAAGTTTTGCTCGGACGCGTCGGTCTTCTACTGCCTTGAGGGTTGAAATCTAATACTATTCTTCCGATATCAAGAAAAGTGTTAGAAAAGCGGGTTTTCTTAAGGTATGCCCAAGCCATCTGTATTTGCGCGTTTATATTTTTTCAGTTATAAGAGGCTGATTCATTCTTAACCAGAGCTCACTATTGGCTATGGTTGCTGGCCTGAATACATGGGGGATGCGTCGTAGACAGCGATTGGCAAATGCTTGAAGATGTTGTGCGTCACTTGCCGATAAATTTCAACTTTCGCCACCATATAGTAAAGTTGATTTTACATTTGCTTTGTAGAGGTGTATCTTAGTGCGTTGTGAAATGTAGGATGAAGGTCAGATTTTGGTAAGGGTTTCGAACGCTTGCTTCGCTTTTGATAGTCTGTGTTGAATGTCTTGTTGACTGCCGTTATTTTACGAAATATAGTTTCCCAGATAGCAGAAATTTTTTACATCTTCGATGTAGACGCCATCTAGTTGGAAATTTGTTGAGTAGATTGAATTCAAACGCATAGACTTGGTTTTGCTGATATTGATTGACAGATCAGCTGAGAGTGCACGCTTTGCGATATTGCTTAGCGAATGATACCATACCTATGTGAGTATCGTTTCCTTACATAGATTAAATAAAGAGTATTCCGACAATCTTGTAGTTATTGAAAAAAAATTCTGAAAGCACTCTTAATATATTATTTATTAATTTGGAAAGTTAAAGTACGGGGCAAGTGAGATATTCTTTGTGATTAATTTAGACATAAGAAAGTAACTGGCAGTGAAGTTTAAAAATGAATACATTTAAAGAACTTATAATATCTCCCCAGTGAGTGAGACAGAGAAATACCTTCATTTGAATTAATAATTCAAATTGGAATAATATATTTCACTAATTTCCAACGTCCAGTAAATCTCAGCAATTATCATGTAATTACACCATTATATAGTTCAAATACTATAAGCAGTGTTTCAATAATCTTTAATGGTCTGCATATATTTATCCTCCGTAGTCAAGACTGCGTTCACGGTTATTGGAATTTCTCGTAGAGTAAGATTGTTGGCCTTATGTTTAAAACAATATCAGGGGGGTGGACTGTTCTTCTAATAGTAACTCTATTGTGAGGAAAGCTGTGTTTCCACATTTTTAAAGTGGAGCAAAAAATATGAATTATGAAAACATGTAAAAACATTTGTATCTATAGGTATACAAGTCCTAAGTAAGAGTATTTTTTTAAAAAAAATATATCATCAGTCTATATTTTTCTTTAATTTCTTTTCCTATTTATATTAAAATATTTCTCAAACTTTGTAATTAATATTTTTTTATTTATATTAATTTGAGGTACATTACAAAATTAGGTCAAGTAATAAATAAGTAATAAATATATTTTATTTAATTTAAGTGATAACCTCAAGAAACAAACCAAGTTTTTATACCCAATGTGAAGGTCTATTTTGATTTTTTTTTTGTTTGAAGAGTACTTATGCATATTAGTAGAAATTAATTTACAATTCGAAAACTCACACATATTGTTGATTTTATATCACATGAGATTATATGTACATTGTGACCGAAAAGCTTCCGGAAATTTTAAATAAAACGCAAAATTCTTAATCTTCATCAATATTTATTTTATCTCCTTCAAAATATGCTCCATTAGAAGCGATACACAAATGCCAACGTTTCTTCCAATCATCAAAAAATTTTTTATAGGCGCTTTCCGGTATGGCTTTGAGTTCCCTCTGCGAATTCTGTTTTACGTCTTCTATGGATTCAAAACGCGTTCCTCTGAGTGGTAATTTGAGGTTGGGAAACAGGAAAAAGTCACACGGTGCAAGATCAGGTGAATACGGTGGCTGTTCGATGGTATTTATTGAATGTTTGGCCTTAAAATCGTTGATAATGTTGAACAAATTGAGGTGAATCGGAACAAGCCGGGCGTTGACACGTCGCATACACAAATTGTCCACCAAAATCAAACGAGCCATCTCACGACCGATGCCTAGCTCTCGTGCTATCTCTCTAACACTCACATGAGGATTTTTGAACACGATTTCCTTTGCCTTTTCAATGTTTTCGTCGGTGGTAGAGGTCGAAGGTCGTCCAGAACGCGGCATGTCTTCGACGGTCGTACGACAGTCCTGAAAGGCTTTGTACCACTCATAAACTTGAGTTTTCGATAAAACTGATTCCCCATAAGCCTTTTGTAGCATTCGCAACGATTCTGCACACGAAATTTCGTTCGAAAAACAAAATTTGATGCAAACTCTTTGTTCAATATTTTTTTCCATTGTTTTTTTCGCAACGCACTACTGAGGTGAACTGGTTTCAACAGCTGCCGTAAACGAACTGTCTGACAGATCGCACTCATTTTTGGCATAGTAATTAAGGACAGTGCTGCCAAACTACATAAACTTAAAATATCGAAAAATATACAGCGCGCGAATTTTAAATGAGAACCTCCGAAAACTTTTCGGTCACAATGTAAGTATATTAGATTATATTCTGTATTAACAGAACTCCAAGCTAAATAATCAGGAAGGTGAAATAAAAAGAAGTGGACAAATAAGTCTCAGTAAGTTGAGTAGCGCATAAGCAACAATATCTATAAATCATGGCTTTAGTTTGGAAGATGGTTAGGCGTCTCTACTTTGGATCTATACGAGTTGATTTGAGTTAAATCTCTCTGAAATATGTACGTTTCCATAGATTAGTGCTTTTATGTTTCTGTAACTCAAATCTGAAAGAAATATGATGACAACTTTCTTCTGAAGTTACAACAATCGTGTTTCATAATTAAAACTTATATTACCAGCTTATGTTCATTAAAATGTGTATTTTACGAGAACAAAACAATAGAAATTCTTTTGACCATTTCTTTTTTTTTTTGATTTTTCGAATTCCTCTTTCTGAGAAGATAGAAGCGAAAACCCGTTATTTACAGAGATTCCCATGTCTAGCAGAAAAACACGCTACGATTTGAGCTTAGTAGCGCCAGTATTGAAAAAAAAAGAATTTAGTGTTGCTAAATGTACTTACTTGATCAAATAGGATCTGGTAAGCGAAGTTTTTGATAAGTAGATATTTCCAGTTTAAGTGAAACTTCTTTAGCAGTTATTTTAGTGTACCGACGCCTTAAACCCGAATTAAATTCGATTTGCTCTCAATTAATGTCACCAATTCTAAATAATATTCT